AATAGAATTACCTGGTTCTTGCATAATAAAAAACTGCTAAATAAAGCACAGTTTGGTTTTACCCCTCATAAGAGTTGTGAAGAGGCTCTTTTGTACTTAAAATACATAGTGGACGAAGGTAAGAAGAGAAATTTACACACAGTTTTAGTGTTTCTTGATATCAAAGGTGCTTTCGACCACGCCTGGTGTCCTGGGATACTTGTTTTTTTAAGGAAAGCTGGTATTCTGTGTAATATTTACCACCTTATTAAAGATTTTCTGCATGACAGATCTGCATTGCTCTCCCTTGGCCACGTTTCTTCCTCCCGCATTTTGGAAAGAGGTTGCCCTCAAGGCTCGGTTTCCGGACCTTTATTGTGGAATTTAATTATGAATGATCTACTCAATAGACTCTCACATTGTCCGAGTTGTAAAACAATTGCTTTTGCTGATGATCTACTAATTTGCTATCAAGAGAAGTGTCCCATTACTCTCTTTAATACGGCTCAAAACACCCTTACTATTATTTCCAATTGGTCCAGAGAACAGAAATTGGAATTCAATCCTAATAAATCTAAAATTATGATAATTAAAAGAAAGCATGTCAGCTATACAAACAAACAACTGTACTTGGATAATACCTTACTCGAAACGGTGAATGAAATTAAATATTTAGGCGTTATTCTTGATCATAAGTTTTGTTGGAAAAATCATATTATGTATTTATCCAATAAGTGTGAAAATATACTTAGAGGACTTAATCGTGTCTCTTGCAATACTTTTGGTTTAAAAGTTAATGTTATTGATATGATTTATAAGCAGGGTATTGTCCCCTTTATTTGCTATGCTTCTAGAGTGTGGGGAACAGCTTTAGAAAAGAAGATTAATTCCCCATATACTTCGCAGAATTCAAAGAAGAATTTTACTAAGAGTTGTGCGTGGCTACAGAACAATTAGCTATGAAGCCTGTTTCGCAATTTCAGGATTTCCTCAGATTGACCTTCATGTTTTGAATGACAAAAAGTTTAAAGATACCATCAGCAAATTTATGTTCGATGCCAAGGTGTTGTTTGAAGATCTTCCTCATCCTGCCAATCGTTTGCCAATTCAAACTATCATTTATGACAATTCTGTTGATGATAATTTCCCTGTTGTGTGTTATATAGATGGCAGTAAAATTAATAATCGAGTTGGATTAGCTTATGTCGTTTTCCATAATGGTTCTGAACTGGAATACAAACTCTTTAGAATTTCCAATGAATGCAGTGTTTTCCAAGCCGAATTACTGTGCATTAGTGAGTCAATTAAGTGGATATCTAACAACTGTTCGCTAAGTGCTAAATTTCTTATTCGCACTGATTCTCTTTCATCCTTATTTTCTCTTAGGAATATCTTCTCATATAATAAATTAATTGTGACTTCCCATGCTCTTCTTAAAGACCTTAATAATAAAGGTGTTGATGTTATCTTTTCTCATGTACGTGGCCACACTGGCAATCTAGGAAATGAACGGGCTCATTGGTTGGCAAAACAAGCTACACATCTTCAAGTAATTACTCCAATGATACTTCCTAAGTCATTTTACAAGAACAAAAGTAGGGATGATACAATACTCGAGTGGAATGAACTATACAGGAATTCTACTATTGCCTCTTTGACTAAACTATATTTTCCTTCCATTCCTCACAGACTGAATAATAAACACTTTTTCTGCAATTTTGAAGTTACTCAATTTCTAACTGGACATGGTAAATTCAATTCATATCTAAAGAGATTTAGATTATGCAGTACATACTTGTGTTCATGCAGTTTCGGGGGAGTGCAAAATGTCGAACATTTGTTGTTCTATTGTTCAAAGCTCAAGGAAGGACGAAAGGAACTCATTTCTAAGTTAAACTCTGTGAATATTTCATTTCCTCCCCCCCTCTTCATGTTTTTGTTCACACATAAAATGGCTTTCTCTTTTTTTCTGTAAATTTATCTCTTACGTATCATCTGTGAATTTGTAAGTTTATTTTATTTTGTGTGTGTGTTGTTTTTTTTTTTTTTTTTTTTTTTTTACTTACCTCTGTAAGCCTTGTGTAATACTATGTGGTGCACAAGGATTTAAAATTTCAATTAAAAAAAAAAAATAAAAAAAAAAAGATATTTAGAAAAAAATATTACTTTACTTATTAAAATGAAATTTAAGTAAATTCTGATCTTTTTTAAAACAAAGAGGGAATAAAGAATGTGATTCAGAGTGAAACTTAAATAAAATTTTAGAATTAATATTACTTTAAAATTAGTAGACTCAACAATGGTGCTCAAAAAGTGGTCAGAAAGTTTTTAGATATTTTGTAGAGATGAGCAAAGAAATTCTATAAATTGAATTTTAGACTTTTTAATTTTTTATTAAAAAACTGCATAAGAAAACTTGAAAAGGAAGTAAAGGAACTATTAATAGAAAAGTACAAAGTTTTCACGTCGTGGGTTTATCATGATGACTTTGAATACAGGAGGGCCCTTGTTTTAATAAAATAATAGTAATTAAGAGAAAAAATAAAATAAAATATTTTTTAATAAAAACCTATAAACCTTTAAAGCATTCTTCTTTACCCTTCTCTTTCGGAGCTTTCAGATAAAAAATTCACACTTTTAAAAAGTATTATGGGATGTAGACTACTCCAGGTTTTGTTGAAAGACTATTAATGAATTTTATAGGAATTTCACTTTCTTTTAAAATTTTGGTGAAAATTAGGATTTTTTTTTTTTTTTTTGTATGTTTTTTATTTCAGTTTCTATTTCTATTCAATTTAAAATTTCTTTACCTGCAAACGCAAGGAATTCCAATGGGAAGTTCTTATTCAACTCACTTTTGCGACTTATTTCTATTTTCTAAAGAATTCAAATTCCTAAACAGCCTTTCTGATAACAATTTCAGTAAATTTGAACACACTTATTACATATTGATGACATTATTACTTTCGACAATTATAATCTCATAGAAAATAGCAACATCTACCAAGCTGTCTAAAACTTAATAAGACCAATAAAAATCAGTCAGGCTTATCTTGATCTAAGCATTCATAATCTTAAAGAAAGAAATTTAACTTTTTGATAAAAGAAAGAATTTATTTTTTTTCTACTACTAACCTTATAAATTGGAACTCCCAACATATCTAAAAAGTTACTGCAAATACTATTAACCAAATAAGTAGAATTAAAAAAACATTTACACTGAAACAGAAACACAAAAAGAATATATTCAAAATTTTAAAATAAAATGAAATTCCTATAAAATTCATTAATAGTTTTTTTTTTTTTTTTTTTTTTTTTTTTTTTTTTTTTTTTTTTAATCTGGAGTAGTCTACATCCTATAATTCTTTTTAAATATTTTATAATACTTTTTAGGTTTTTATTAAAATTTATTTCATTTATTTTTTCTCTTAATTACTAATCTTTTATTAAAACAAGCGACTCCTATGCCCACGATGTGAAGACATTTTACTTTTCTAACAATAGTTCCTTTACTTCTTTCTCAAGCTTTCCTCTGCATTTTTCTGTAATTTTTTAATAAAAAAAAATTTTAAAAATCTAAACTTCAATTTATAGGATTTTTCTACACATTTCTACAAAATTTTAAAAAATTTTCTGATCACTTTTTAAGCACGCTTGTTGAGTCTACTAATTTTAAAGTAATATTAATTCTAAAATTTCACACTGAATACACTTTATTGACATTTCACACTGAATCACATTCTTTATTCCCTCTTTGTTTTAAAAATATTTTTCAAAATATCTATTTTCAATTTAAAAAGTTGTATAGAAATTTTGAAATTTTTTAAAATGGTTTTCTTTTTAAAATTATAAAAATTTGTTCCAATTTTTAGCCTTCTGATGGATAACTTTCTTGACACGGTTTCTTAGTTTCGTGAATGAAGCTAAACTGGCAATCCTAAACGTCATTACTTTAATGATCTTTTTCATAGTTTCAAATGTGTTCTAATTGAAACTGCTCAAAGTTTTTAATCATTTCTTATAATTTTTTTATTTCGATTCCATTTAGACTTGGTCTTTTTACTAAATTTTTATAATTACTTATGTTTTCAATTATTTGGATTATGTTCTCTTTGTTTAAAGGTAAAATTTTGATTTGAATTTTTCACTAAAATATTTTATCATTTCACTTACATTTTCAATTCTTTGAATACAGACTACTCTTTATTTAAAGGTAAAAAATTTTGATTACAATTTACTTTGTTTTTTTTTATTTTTTTATTCTTTCTTTGGGAAAAAACCAGAATTTCCGGGTGAGCTATTATAATTAAAATACATTGAAACAGTTCACTGGTTAATTCCGGATACGGAAAAGCAAGGATTTTTGTTGTGGAAGAGAAATTTCAATTGATTTCATTGTTCCTCCTCCTGACGAAGTGCCACTGAAGTTGAATGAATTCCTCTTCTTTTATGCTCTTCTTTGTATAAATTTCATTGATTTTTTTAATTGGGGTATTGCTTGTTTGAAGTGTGTTTTGGTTTTAACATTTATTAAATTCTTTTTTGCATTTATAGGATTATTTGAAATTTATTATTTATGAATTTCAATTTTTCGTCTTTGTGAAAAATTGGTTCTAAATGTCTTACTTTATCTATATATTAGGAAATTTATTTCAATTTAGTAATGTATTTAATTCAACCTTATATATATATATAGTGTGTGTGTGTGTGTGTGTGTGTGTGTGTGTGTGTGTGTGTGTGTGTGTGTGGTGTGTGTGTGTGTGTGTGTGTGTGTGTGTGTGTGTGTGTGTGTGTGTGTGTGTTGGATTATGCCAGTACTTTAAAAACCTAGCTTTAATAATTAAGCAAATGATTGCAATATGACAGTATTTTGACCTGCAATTAAGTATTTGTGCTAGTTCTTTAAAACTACTCAAATCTCTTTTTTTTTTTTTTTTTTTTCCCTGTTCACATATATTTTAATAAGAAAATTACATGTTTTAAACATAATAATGAAAAACAACACCACAAAATAAGCTCACCATTTCCATCATTTCCTGATCTTCAAAGTCATATATTATATGTTCCAAAATATCTCTATCGGCAACAAAACCCAATGCCCGAAATACAATCATAATAGGAATTTCTTGTTTAATGTATGGTAAAATCGCTATTATTCGTTGCCCAATGGCACTTTTCCTGACACCCTGTCAAAAGATAAGATCATTTAAGGCACTTATCTGAAATGTTCATTTACAAATCATAAAACTGGAGAAATTCATACCTGACCACCTCTAGCTAACATATTAACCCACAAAGTGCTAGTAGGACGAGAAGAATGTTCTAAGCATGATCTGCACTCAGATTTGTAAGCATACTTGGAATCTTTCATTTGAAAGACATACACAGAATTTGTAGCCATCTTTTCCTGAGCAATCAGTACCTAGCACAAAAGAAAAAACAAAACTGTAAATAATTTATTTGTTGCATCTTTAATTTTATTTCTTTTGAGAGATTAAAATGGAATACAGCGTTAAAATATTAGTTACATTTTCTTCATAGTGCACAAATGAGTGTGGATATTAATAAAACAAAGCTTACCTTTTCTGATCCATTGATAATGAAATAACCTCCTGGATCCAAAGGACATTCATTTAACTCAGTAAGATCACGATCAGTCAGTCCATTCAAGAGACAATAAGTAGACCTTAACATTATCGGAATTTTACCAATAAAACTTTTTTGCAGTTGAGATTCAACTGGTTCTTCACCTTCTTTAACAACAGTTTTTGTTATGTCAACATACAAGGGAGCTGAATATCTGAAACAATAAACTTTCTCAATATAGAAAATTTTCATTCTTAAATTATTTACACAGCATAATAAATAAAAACAAGCAATGATTAAAAATCAGTTTTTAACTAAAAATTTATAATTCTAACTAATAATTAAACTCATATTGAAATGTGTTTTCTAACTTATCAGTTAGACAAATATGCTCTCTAACCACTACAGCACAAATGAACTTTTTTTATAATTGTTTAATAATGTAAATGTAACACATAAATGAGAACAAGCTTGAGAGTTTTTACAATACAAACAAAGCAGGATAGCAGTATGTAAATGCAAGAAACCTTTTCGCACAGAAGCACAGACAGCGAAACTCTACAATGCTTTAGTGTATAAGTGTACCACTCTGAGAGAAAAAATTATTTAAATTTCTTTGCAGATTACATAATTCTAAATCTTTGCTCTTTTTATGAGCAAACTATACAAAAAATAAATGTTTTAAATTATATAAACACTACACATCATCATTACTTATAAATTTATGTATTCAACAAATCTACAAAATTAATTAGGGACAAGTTAAAATTTTAGCAAGTATTAATTTTAATAATTATTCACTTTTTTGTGAATGAATGGCATACATAAGATTGATAAATTCTGATAACATACGTTAAATTTCTTAATCTAGCTTCGTTAGGCATCATGGGACTAGGTGCACCATCTTTTTCCCAATGAGTAGGCTTGGAGAGATATATTTGTTCAAACTTCACAAGATAGCGAGGCTAAATAAATAAATAAAAGCCACACCATGATATATATATACATATTTAACAACAGAATTTCATACAATATAACAATAATACATATTAATAATTACATGACGAAAATAAATGTTTGTTCCTTAAACTTATATTAAGAAACAGCAGCAATTTTTTTCACTTGAGACTTTTTGGTTTTATAAAATTCTACCTCTACACAATTTTTTGTAAGATACAGTCAAAAGTCTTTAATCCGGACTCGTTGGTACTTCGGCGATTCAGGATTATCGATTTTTCCGGATTATAGATCATCAGTTTAAATCTGGTAAGATGGCATGCAGAAATTATAAAATTAAAAATATGAAACCGTAATTTATGAAATAAAGAGCAATTATGATCTAAAGGGTATCAAAATTTACAAAAAAAAAAAAAAAGCTTAATATTTATTTGTTTACTTTATTAAACATTTCTTTCAATGTGCACATGCATAAAGCATACATTACGCATAGTCGAAATTAGAAAATTGCAACCAGAAAACTATTTGATTTGTATTCGTGATATTTATAATGACGAGGAATTTGATTTAAAACACATCAAAGACGAAGTACATCGAGATGAAATACTTCATTATAAGACAAAATTATAAGCCGAATAAATAAAAACATCTGCCCTGAAGATAAGGATAGTGCTAACAAATCAACTTCCAGTTTGCGCGCCGCGACGTTATCCCCCCCCCCGAACAGAGCAGCGTGAAATTGATAAACAGATTTCGGAATGGTTGGTTAGAGAAACGAAGGAGCCTTTATCCATTTTTTGCAGCAATTTCACTTTTTGTCTGATGGACATTGAAACATGCTTTCCCTTCATAGATCCAGCATCGGAAATTCTATTTGACATAATAGAAAAGTAATAAATTATTAGTACTTTTATAAAAGTAAGTTCCAACTTACTTTTATAAAATTGCTCTAAATGTCTGCAAAAAATAATAAGCCAGTTCCAATTCGAAGATTAAGCAATAACGCAATCTGCAACATTAACTGAATGAGATAATTTTAGCTTACCTTATACTGTCCGTTATACCCATGCGCAAACGTATTATGCGCATGTGTACATGCATATGCACATGCCTAAAATTATTACGTGCATGCGCAGAAAGTTTGTAGCTTTGAGGTCCGGATTAACGACTTTTGACTGTATTACGAATCATGTTATGAATAACTATAATTCTAAAGGAAAAATACATAGGAACTTATGGTAATGATATCCATAAGGTTTATGGGTACTTGCGGTATTCTATCAAAAGTGAAAATTGGCTACCGTTGGACCATGAAAGTTAGTGGAAATCTCGACAATCATTCCAGTAGAATTCTAAAGGAACTGACATCTCTTTATTTAACCCCTTCGCGCCGACTGTCACGTATACATGGCAGCAACGAACGCACTCCAGTTTTTTAAATCAACTGTCCAGACTTTAAAATAACTAATTTTAAACTAATTTATTAGAAAGATTACTTTAAACTAATTTTATTAGACTTATTTTAATTTCATCAGAAAAATGTTCATATTGAACTTCTTTTATCAAATATAATTCTGCGGCAAAGAGTTCTGCTATCAAGGGTCCTGTTTTCTTGTCAGTTTTATTTTTTAGATTGTGAATAAATATAAATATCCATGCAGTCACACTAATAGCTCTAAGTAATTTACTATAATTTTCAAGATTCAACAGAGAATTATATTTTTCTGCAATAGACAGTAGTATTGTTGTATCATTTATACATTTTTTCCGCTCTAATTTAGCATCAGAAAACTCCGTTGTCGCAATAAATTTACTAGGCCAAGCACTCACTGATTCAACTAACCAGTCTGGCACAGACTGCCATAATCTTGAAGACAACAAATATTCGGCTGAACATCCTCGAGATAAAATGTCCGCTGGATTGGACTTCCCATTACAATGTCTCCAGTTATTTGAGCAAGTTAATTGCTGTATTTCAGATACTCAATTTTTTACAAACATTTTCCATCGTTCAGGAACACTATGAATCGAGTGAAAAACTATCATACTGTAAGTCCACAGATAAATATTTTCTTCCTGAATTGAAAACAGCTCTTTTAAATTTTTAGCAAGTCTTGCCAATGTTAACCCCTTCGCGCCGACTGTCACGTATACGTGCCAGCAACGAACGCACTTACCTACCGGCCGACACGCAGCCGTGCCAGAGGATTGTTCCATTCTCTACCGACTGTCACGTATTTGTGCCACGTATTTTGGAATGTTTTTCAAACTATAATTTCTACCACAAGATGGCACTGTATGTCCATATGGTTTCAGATACATGTAAATTAGACCTTCTACTCGAAATGAGAGAAGCATGACTCACATACACGTGTTTTTGATTATATAAACAAACGGGGAAATAAATGTTTCCAAATGGCGTGATTTATGACGTCTCTTTAAATCGTACTTTATTCGCATGTGGTAGTTGTTTACTGCAAGTAGAGAAGTTTTATTTGCTCTAAAGCGTTGGGTATTTCGGTTTGCAGTTCAGTTTTTAGAAAATAATTAGATCTTGTTAGACGTGAATTCTTTGTTTTTACCGTTGCAATGTCGAAGCGTCGAAAATGTTTAACAGAGCATGAAATAGCAGAAATGATGCAAAATATTTCAGATATTGATTCTGAAATTCTGATATTCTGATATTGATTCTGAAAGATTAACTGAAAGACATTTTCCAAAACTTTGTTCAGAAGAGACTGATAAGAAAATGAGACGACGATGCTTCGTTTGTTCACATTCCCGGATTCTACAAGGCAGCAGATGGAATTGAATTACGGAATATCAGAAACAACAGTGCGTGACATTCTAAAGCAAAAAGACAAACTGGTGAACTTTGCATCAATGTCGGACAGTGCTTCCGCAATAAAAACGCGAAAAACTATGAAGGTTTGTACCTTTGATGAGCTAGATACAGCATTGACAGAGTGGTTAGCTCAAGTTCGAAAAGAGGGTACTCCTATAAATGGTCCTAGCATTGCGGCAAAGGCAAAAAACTTTTTTGAGTTGTTAGGAATTTTGATGCATCTTCTGGCTGGTTGACTCGTTTTAAGCAGCAACATGGAATTCGACAAATTGGACTTCATGGGGAGAAACTTAGTGGTGACTAACAAGCAACCAACGATTTCCACCATGAATTTGAAGAATTTGTTTTAAAAGAAGAGCTATCTTTTGAACAAATTTACAATGCCGACGAATCGGCACTTTTGTGGAAATGTCTTCCAACTCGCACTTTAGCATTTGAAAGTGAAAGTAAAGCGGCGGGTCATAAAAGAAGCAAGGAAAGGATCACTATCATGTCTTGCAGTAATGCTATTGGTGGACATAAACTTAGACTTGTTGTCATTTAAGAGTAAAAAAAAAAAAAAAAAAAAAAAAAAAAACGAGGTACCTTTCAAAAGGCACAAGGATAGAAAATTTGCCCGTTGATTACTTTAACCAAAAAAAAAAAGGATGGGATGAACCAAAAACATTTTTCAAGAAATGGTTTGAAAAAATTCTTTGTTCTTCAAGTGCGTAAACATCTTAAATCGTAAAAACCTGCCTGAAAAAGCTGTGCTATTGATTCGACAACACACCTTCTCACCCAGCAACAAGCGTGCTAAAGTCTTCTGATGGACAAATTTTTGCAAAGTTTCTACCCCAAACGTTACTGCGCTAATCCAACCCATGGACCAAGGAGTCATTGCAACAATGAAGAGAACATACCGAACCAAGCTGCTAATGACCAGTAATATTGAAGAAGGTTTGATCTGAAAGAGTTTTGGAAACACTACACAATCTTGGACAGCATCTACAATATTGCATCTGCATGGGACTCAGTGAAACCTTCAACCCTTATAAAATCATGGAGAAGCCAACAACAACCAAACCCCTTTGAGTTGTGAAGAAGAGAATGAAGATGTAGACACACCCACGGCAACTCTTGCCGATATGGTGAAAAGAGTTCCAGGTGGTGAGAACGTCGATGCTTAAAACTTTAACGACTTGTTGGAGTGTGACGTCAACGAACCTGGCTTCGAACGCTTGACAGATGATGAAATTGTGAAGAAAGCAAGGGGAGAGACCGAGAATGAAGGACAGCAAAATGAAGGTGAAGAAGAGCCCCCTGTGCAGATGCGGAAGACTCACGAAGGAGCTTTGTAACAAGTCGACGGACTGCTGAGTTATTTGGAAGAACAAGACGACGCGGATTTGGCCGAGAAACTTATGCTACGAAAAATGCAATCTCTGATCAAGAGAAAATGCTTCCAAAGCAAGAAGCAAACACAAATGACTGATTTCTTCAAAACAGTGTAGTTTTACAGTTACGCTTTTGTAATTACATAATACATTACAGTATTAAAACAGTACATATGTATTAACTTTTCTGTGTACCCTTGACGCCTCTCATAAGTATACAAAGCACTTTTCTGTTTTCATTAACAAAATGCATTTTAGGTTAGTTTTGAGTGATATACTAAAATATTAAGCACTAGTTACACATTTCCTGCTGTTTATTTTAAGTTTTATTGTACATAAAAAGATTTTTCAAAGTTGGAATGACTGTTTTCTCTTTTGCTATACCCGTTTTTAGCTTTTTTCGGATTATCCGCGGTTTTTGTCATTCGCGGCGGCCGCGCCACCCAATTCCGTGGATAATCGGGAGTGTACTGTAGTATAAAATATATTGCATACTATACTATATAATACACTGGTTATCATAAATTAAGGAAAAATCACGATTACTGAAAAGGTTACATGTAGAATTTTATGAAACTTACCCACAATATATAAACACATAGTAAGGTATCAAATAACATAAAAAGAAATTACCAGACAATTATAGTAGTATAGAAATTAGCACATGTATAAAATGAACAAATCGACGATGTCAGTTCGCTATAGTAAACGTAACTTCAATATGGGATATAATCGCCTATAGAAGCAATACAGCATATTCAGCAATGTGTGATGCTTTCAATTATAC